CGTTTACTTTTTTTTTTTTTTATCTGGTTTATTTTTTATAATTATTTTTTTAATCATTTGTTTCTTATTTTTTACTTTTTAATCACCTGTTTATTTTTTAATTGAATTATTTCTTATTATTTTTTAAAACATTTTTTTTTTTTATCCATTTTTTTCCCACTGAACTTTATTGCTATGACACAGGAGCTAACAATCTCCTGTGTCATAGCAATTGGAGGCGACAGGCTCTCTTTATTAAACATCGCCGAATTGATGTTTGTTTCCCTACAGACCTCTCAAAACTGGGACTTTCCACAGGAAATGGGGACTAATGGTAACCGTAACATAGGCCAATCAAAAATGTAAACTTCTTAAAACCAATGAATGCCTTGCTGAATAAAAGTGCAGGACAAATCTGCTTGGACTGTTTGTGTGTCCACATTTCATGCATAGTAACAGCTGCCACTATCAGCTGAGCCTGTCCCCTTTAACATATATGCACACACACACATATAAATATATTCTGAGCACAATAGCATAATACCAATAATGGCATAAAGCACTCAATATGTGCGTTAATATGGACACTCATTTGTTAAAAGCACACACACTTTGTGCCTTAGGAAAGGTCTTTCTATACATACCGTGAACAGCATGGTCTGGTTTTCCTCCATGTCTGTTGGCTGCACACAGTTCCATTCTTCACTCGAATTTTGTAAATCGAAACCACTGTCGACCTCCTCAAAGGATCCCGGAAGGCTGCAGGGGCCATCCTTCCAGTCCCTGTGAAATGAGTTGTTAGTCCTCAGGCCAGGCTGTGAGAAAGATTTACGCATAGGCTTCTGTTTTTCCTCATCAATAAACGTTGACTGAAAAACAGACCGTAGTTTGTCACCAAAGGATATTCCAGTGCTAATATCCGCTGTCAGTGGAGACAGAGTATCAGTATCTTGCTTTTTGGTACAGCTGACATGGTTAAATTTATCAATACATTCATCTATCAGAGCTGGTGGGGCCTTTTTGTGAGCTACAAGCACCCGACCACAGAAGAGGACTTCAAACTTTTTTGAGAAAGCATCATCTGCATCGCATAAATGAGAATGGATTTCCTCTTGACGGGCTAACTTTCCAGCTTGTCTAATAGAGCCGATTATTTCAGGCACCTGCAAGAATACAAATACATATGTTAGAAGAAGCCATAACAGGAATACAGCATATCCATTTATTATTACACAAGTGACAGCATTCATGCTGGATCCCATATGTTCCAAAAATGTCTCATTTACACCTTTGCCATTTCAATAGTTGATATTGCACAGAGAAGTGTGAACCATAGCTCATGCATACAAAATAGTGTCATTGTGCAATTTAAACAGTTGTTACATTAGATGCAATGAAGAACTAGCAAGATGAGAACTAGAAACAAAAATGCTTAAAATGTTAAAAAAGAAAAACAGACTTCTCAAACAGAGCAGAGCATGTAGCCATGATTACACCTTAGCGACATGAAATATGTGCTTTTTCAGTGCGTTTTATGTAACATGATAAATATGGGCAAAAACACACAAAAAAGCAGCAAATGCGTGTTTTTAAACATTTCGATTGAAGTCGATGGTGCCAAGAAGTGCAGAATCTGCCAATAAGAAGCTCATGTACTTTCTTCAAGCAACGGGCATTTTGCTACAAGCAACATGGCGCTCAGATATAAACATTGCCATAGAAATTAATGGGAATTTTTTGGGGAGTTTTTTTTAGCAGAAAAAGCACTACAAAACACTCAGTGTGGATAAGGGCTAAGGTTTCAAACGTGTGGACAAAACATACATTGGAAAATAATAAACATAGTAGCAGCTTAAACTCGCTTTAATCAAAAGTAACTAAGAAAACAGGTTCTGTGATTTTGCAAAACATATTTTGCAGTACATGCGGAAGGAGATGAGGGCTTGTTTTGAAGCAGATTTACTGCTGGTTATAACATGTTTAGACTAATGCACATCCTCGGAGCACAGGTGCAAATTAAGATGGAACAGTGGCAGTTGGTCTGTTAGGAAATCACTAAGAAGAGAGTGTTACAATAATTGATCTGGAATATGATGAAGTTGTGCACGTGCATTTAAGTTGCATACCTCTCAGCATTCCGAGACCCAAC